CATTTTCTGTCTTAGGAAGGGGAACATGGGGACGTTATCAACTTCTTGTTTGCTGACTGAGGGTCTTGACGGAATGCAGCATCCCAGAACAGCAAGTCCTTGTCAGTTATTTCTAAGGATCAGAAGGAGTTGCAAAATTGTAATGAGGCAGGGAAAGTTTTCTTGTGACCTTGGGTAGAAAGTACCTTTCTACAGAGGTGAGGTGGATAAGATCTCTCTGGGGCTGAGGTGTATCTAGAAGAGAAACCATACTGCTGGGAGCAGGACATGGCTGGTCCTCCTGGATTCCCTCTATGGTCATGGCTATGCAAAAGAAATTATATATACACACACACACCCACACACACACACACATATATATATATAATTTATATGTAAAATATATATAGTAAATATATAAATTATATATACACATAATTTCTTTTGCAGAGTATATTATATACTATATTATATACTATATAAAATTGATAATATGTAATTATATAAGTGTACATATACAAATACCTACTATATTACATAATACATAAAACATTATATATAAAATGTATAATATATAATACATAAATTATATATATAATTTCTTTTGCATCGTATATATACTTAGTGTATGTATAAGATATAAAATATATAATATATATTATATAATATACATTATATTATATATTTGTGTACATATGTATATAAATACATACACGTGCATGGACATATATACATACTACGTATATACATACATTCAAATAGTTATTTCCTATCTTTATGCTGCTTCTCTCAGTTGACAAGGTCAGGATTTGCACATTATAACCTACTCTTCTCTCTTCACTCACCCTATTCTATTTTTCTTGGATGCCAACCTGAGCTTACCTCCCATCTACTCTTTTGTTTGTCCTCCTTAGTTGGATATTATGTGTGGAAAACTCACAGAAAAACTGGGTTGCCATGGCTGGTCCATCCTCCTGCTCAGTAAAATGAAAATAACATTTAAGAAACCCAGTCGCCAATGTCTGTTTAATAATTCTTGATTGCTGCCCTGAGCCTGGATTTCAGTATTTCTGAATAATCAGCTCCTGGAAGCTAGCAAAAAAATGACTATCTAAAACTGCCAGAAATTTGCTTCCTGTTGTTCTGAATGTGAAAGTAGGAATGTGACTCTGGGGCAGCCTCATTTGCCTTTGTGCTGGATCACTTTGGTGGGCCATCTCAGTCCTACCCACTGGCATTAAGTAACTACTCGCTGCCCCTGAGTTAGCCCAGGACTTGGGAGAAATCATCCAAAAGCAAATGCTTTATAATGGAGTATTCTGTTTAAGAATATAATTCTTTAATGAAGTGTTTAGCATTTCCCCTGGCAGGACTGGAAACAGAGTTTGAAAATAGTGGATGGGATCTGGGACTGAGGGAGCAAAGAGATGGGAGTAAGGGCTCCCACTGGATGATGGGCTTAGGTGGTGTCAGCTCTGTAACTAGTTAAGGGTCTATTTCCAGAAAAAAAAAATACCTGCCATTAAGATATTAGTTAATTAACTTATGAAAGTCCTTGGGCATTCTTTATGCACTACTCAGTCAATTTGCTGTTTGAAATTTCTACTGAAGCTCTGTAGAAAATCCAGGGCTAATGCCGGTTCCACCTTGGTGCACTCTGCAGGCCCCATGGGAAGCCTCCCTTCTGGTCAGTTCCAGCCTCCCAGAGGGATTCCGGACAACAATTGTACTAGTCAGAACTTACATTGCACGTGATAGTAAACCCAAAGCACACTAGCTTATTCAGAAAGGGACTTCCCTATCTCCTCTGCTTCTTTCCTTATTCTTTCACAATGAAGAAAGATTTTCTTCACATGGTAGGTTCAAACTCATTTGAATTCATGACCTCCTGGCTCCTTGACTCCAAAGCTTCCCAATAGAAAAAATTCAGGGAAGGACTCTGATTGGCCCAGCCTAGATCACATGCTCACTTCTGGCCCAATCACTGTGAGGAGAAGGAGGTGCTGTGATTGGTCTGACTTGGATCACATGTTCACTGTGCGACCAGAAGGGTGAGTTACTGGCCTAATTTCCAACTGCCAGCTCTTACTTACAGCTCTGAGTAAGAGTTTTTCTGGCCACCAGAGCTCACTGTGCCCATGAACATGGTAGGTTACAAGTGCTGAGGAATTACTGTCTCCCAGAAGCAGCCCTCAAACGACGACTGATGGGAGCTGGCACATAAATACTCAGGGGCTCACTTGCCCGTGGGCTGACAGAATTCTGAGACATGCAGTCAACGCCATTTACCAGAATGCCAGAGTGGGATTAAACTCCTGTTCTCCACAGTTGCCCCTTGCTGGGCATTGCACTCTTTATCTGCCTCTTTCTCTTTCCCATCTCGCCCCCTCACCCCTTGTCTGCAGTATTGCCTGACTTCACCTCCCAAATATGTTTGTACTTGAGTCCTTATCTCAGTGACTTCTGGGAAAACCCAAACTAAGAGAGTTACAGTGATTGGCAGCTCATCACATGAGTCAAATGGGGATGAAGCAGAGTGCCTGGAACTGGTACTTCTGAATACACAGAGTAGTAGCTGTCAACTAAAATATGTGTGTGTTTGTGTGTGTGTGTGTGTGTGTGTGTGTGTGTGTGTGTGTTGGGGAAAAAAACCCACAGAGCAGCAAACAATGAGAACTTACAGTAAATCACTTCCTATTACACCAACATTTGGGCACAAGCATGTCTGGCCTGATATGCCCAGGGGAAGCAGACAGACCTCCCCAGCAGGTTGCTCTGGAGAGGAAAATGTCAGAGGATGTGGGGTCCAGGCTACAGGGAGAGCTGTAATTTACATGAGACAACATTTCCACCATGACTTCATTAATCTTAGGACTCTTCCGCCCCAGCTGAATCCCAGCCAAAAAGTTATCATGGCAGAGAGACATGCCCGCCTCCTCAGATGCTGGCCAGCGGCTGGGCGACTTGGCTTATGTTTGGCGATATTCCCATTAGACAGTTGGGCTTGTGGGATGGCCCATGCATGTGCAGTGATAAAAATACTCTCCTTATCTCTGTGTCTCAGCTGTGGTAACCCTGCTTCTTTCCGTTCGAGTGTATTGGTTTCTAAAGCCAAACTTATTCTATATATGTCATGGATTGAATTGCCTACAAGCAGCAGTGCTTGAGAGAGGGGTTCAGGTGTATGAAACTCTGAGGGAGTAAAACACACACACCTCTCTAAGGTTGTGAGGGAAACAAAATAGGAAAGATAAAGGAGCCACACAGGGATGGGGCTCTTAGTTTCAGATAAAGTCTAGACCAGGGGTTGTCAAACTATGGCCCGTGGACCAAATTCAGCTGCCACCTATTTTGGTAAATAAAGTTTTAAATAAAGTTTTATTGACACACAGCCACGCTGACATAATGTCTATGTCAGCTTTCTTGCTACAAGGGCAGAGTCGAGTCGTCTCTGGACTGGATGGCCTGCAAAGCCTAAGCTATTTACATTCTGGCCCTTTCCAGAAAAAGCTTGCTGACCCCTGCTCTAAACTTGTCTCAACCCATGGGAGCTCTGGAGCCCCCCTTGCTCAATAAAGTTATCCCTACCTTGAGGCAAGGGCTGGTCTTGGTACCCTAGTGTCAGCTGGGCGTTGGTTGTCACCCACCCTGGGTGTTAAGGGTGAGGGACATTAAGCAGATTCAGCCCAGGATGGTGGCTCCCATCAGCCGAGAACAATTTTTTGGATGTTAGGGGCACCTGTGAATTCTGAGCAACTGACACAGTGGCTGGGAAATGGGTACACATGCTGGTAAAGGGGACCTTTCAAGGCACTGCTAGCAACTACTGCCACGTTGATCTGGATCTCCAGATGTGTTTCATGAAGATGGAGGGAACCCTTGCTTCCTGCCTGAAACTGAGCCATAATTCTCTCACCTGGACTCCGTGACTCCCATTTCACTCCTGCCTTCAGTCCGTCCATCCCATTGTTCTCAGGGCGAAGACAGAAACCCTTAACAGCTCAAAGAATAATTCCTGAGAGAAAACTTCTTGAACCTTTTTCCCCATAAATTCCAGTCCCTCTAAGTAGCCAGTATTCATTTTGTGTGTTTTTACCTATTTTTTTCAGTCTTTGCAAACCACAGCACACAAAAACATGCAGATTTTCTTTTCTTTAAACCAAATGCCCTGTTATGCGCATTACTTTGACATTTGCTTTTTTTGCCTTAACAATATAAACCATAAGAAACTCTCCAGTCTGACATGTATAGTTAACTGATATTTAACTCATTTTTTTAACAGCTGAATGATAGCCCATCATATGTATGTACATATTATGTACCTAATACAGATGTACAATAATTTAAGCATTCCTACATTGATAGGAGTTCAGGTTGTTTCTGTGTGGTTTTTATTTTTCACTTTACAAACCATGGTGCAAAGAACAGCTCTGAACAAATATCCTCACATTCTGTTGCTTGTAGGCTGAAGGCTCCATCCCTAGAAGTGGTATTATTTGGTTAACATACACATGCATTTTAAATTTCCATACACGCTGCCAGATTCCTTTCTGCAGATACAGCAAATCATATGTCCCCCGTGAGTTTATGAGACTGTCCAGTTTCCAACATCTTTGCTAGATTGGCGTCCTTCAGTCCTTTTAATTTTTGCCAATCTCTTGGCAGGGGAGTGGCCTCCCGTTGTCCTGACTTGCATTTCCTTGACTGTTATTGAAGTTGGTCATCTTTTTATATGTATATTGCTTTGATAAAAGTAGTCCCCGCAGTGATAGGACCTTATGTTAATCTGGGGGGAGATGGAAGTGTTCTTGGGGAATCCTTTGCTCTTTACCCATCCATCCTCGGGTGCTCTCCAATGCAGAGTTGGTTGTTGCCGATATACCTGCCCATCCTCAGCTGCCCTCCCTCTTGTGTCCCCAAAGGGCGTGGAGTTTTGGTCTCAAGGGATGTGGCCATGGTGGGAGTGGGTAGAAGGTCCTGCCCCATTGGTGACCATCTCCGTCTGTTCTCTTCACTTCTAGACACCACCCAGATGAACAACGCAGTGCCCACCTCCCCTTTGCTCCAGCAGATGGGCCATCCACATTCCTACCCCAGCCTGGGCCAGATCTCCAACCCCTACGAACAGCAGCCGCCTGGCAAAGAGCTCAACAAGTACGCCTCCTTGAAGGCTGTCGGTAAGTGCTGTTATGTTTCTTCTCTCTCTCTCCTGTACTTTTCTGTTCCTTCTAGATTTCCTTATCCCCTATTTTTTTTTCTACTCCTTTTTCTGTCTTTCTTATCTCATCTATCTATCACCTATCTATGTATCTATCATCCATCATCTATCTATCCATCTACTATCTATGTATCATCTATCTATCCATCCATCATCTATCTATTTTTCAAAATTTCCAGATGTAAACATTTCTGGTGTTGGGGGGCGGGGGGGGGGGGAGCCTGGAGCTCCTATTACCTGAGTTTTTATCAAGTGCCAGACATTGCATTGGCCCTTTTATAGACACTGTCTTATTTTCTCATAGCGCTCCAAAGAGGAAGGCATAAGTATTGCCCCAATTTTCAGATTAGGAAAACTGAGACTCGGGGAGGCTAATTTAACTTGCTCCCAATCAAGCAGCCTGTGGGCAACTTGAACTTGTGTTTTTATCGCTGCAGAGCCTGTGCTCCTGCTGCTCCCTTCCCACAGCCCTGGGTGGGTTGGGGTTCAGTCCATTCCCTCGATTTGTACATGAGGGAGTCTGACGGTGACCCAGGTTCCTAAACAAATAACTCATGGCCCTGTTCTATAGGATGGAAGCAGCACCCACAGCAAAGTCAAGCTTTGGGGCGGGCAGAAGACTCCCAGACCCCATGCCTTCTTTTATAATCAGCTTCTCATCCTATTTCCTCTCCCCACTGCCAAGCTCCTCGTTGGAGATGGGACAGGAGACATGTGCTGATCCATTCCAGTATGAAATATCCTAATTTTGTTACAAACTCAGGACAGAAACCAAAGCACAGACATGATCCCATGTCTAGGCTGCTGTCGGAACCACGGTCTACAGACACCAGATTCATAAAACAAGCACGTTGGTGCCCAACAGAGGGCCAGACACATACTTGGAGCTTAGCGTTTGAACCAGAAGTCCATCTTTAGGAATTCCTATTCCTCAATCTCCCACGATTTCCAAATGGAACCATTTGAAGAGGGTTTGAGGGGTGCTTATAATTCTGAGGGCACAGGTTGTGCTGCCTCAATTCCAAGCCTCGTAAGACTTTACATAGTAATCTCCCACGTTTCCTGTTGAATTTCTCCACCCACCTCAACCCTCATCTACACCCATGACCACAGATTTCTTCTGTTCCGTATTGTGTGTTTGCAGAGCACATACATCCTAAACGTGTTCAGATAAACTCAGATGTTACTAGGAAGGGAAGGGAGCTGTTGCCTAGGAGAGAAAGAGTCAGGGCATCTGTGCCAATGTAACTGCAGAAGCCTTCATGCACTATTCAGTGGCCCACCTCCCTTTCTGAGCCTTGCACTTAGGTGATGAAGAGCATTTGCTGTTATACTTGATTCTTGTTTTGCATTAAAAAAAAATCCACCCAGACGTCTTTTTCTTTTTGAACTGGTCCTATTACCCAAAACAACTCATTTCTTCAACTTAGGCCCAGTGTTTCCTTCCCCCTCAACACCCAATAGCTCTTTGGGTAAATCATAAATGGATCTTCCAACAGAATTCCTTGATTCTGTCCAGCATTGACTCAGGGCTTCTTGGTATAGCAAATGTTTGCAGTGCATTTGGAATTAAACTTGCAGTCTGAAAGTTTATTTGACACTCCTTGAGTAACACTTTCTTCCACAAAGCCGGGACTCCTGAAATGTTTGTTGAATGAAGGAATGAGCTTGTCTTTGACAAGAATCAAAGAATAGCTTAGTTGGAAGGGAGCACCCTATATCTTCTAAAAACTCTGAAGGGTCTCACTTGGGGTACCCTCCTCAATCCTGGCTATGGTTGATGTGACCCTCTTCTTCTTGGTCCTTCTTTTCTGACTATTACGGGAGTTCACAAGCTTTATCTGAGTCACTGGTCCTGTGAGGTCCAGTGAGGGGCAGACTGAGCGAATGCATGACCCGATGGGTTACCCAGGAGTCCAGAGTCTGCCTGCCCAAATGAAATGCAAATCCCATAATAAACATTATTTCGAGGGTTCTCCATTAAGCCATAATGTGACTGTGCTGTGAATGATGAAATGCATTTCATTAACAAAATCATTACCACCCAGTAGAGAAGTTGTTTAAAAAATGGTTTGCTGTGGAAAGCTCTGCAGTCTCTGATAACCAGACTCATTTTCTAAAAATTTCAATTCAGTAAATAAGGGGAGACTTGGACAGTCTTTAGTGTTAACTGCCAAGTTCAAAAATACCTCTGGAAAATCAGTGTTCTCTTGGAGACTTTAATATTCAGAATATCGAGTGGGTTGGTCACCAAAACCCCCTGACCTCAGCTTCTTCGTGTGAAAAATGAAGAACCTGAACTCTCTAGTTTCCAAGCTCCATTCTAATTTTAAAATTGGAAAATTAAACAGTTCTACTCATTCTAGTCATTAGAATACCCGTGGACCATTAAATGTGTCTCCTTCATTCACTACCAACTCTGGGGAGAAAAGGGTGGGAATTATTGGTAGTTCCTGAGATAAATTCTTCCCAAACAAGACTTCCTATCTATTTAACTTAATTTGATTTGATTTAATTTAATTTTTATTTTATTTATTTAATTTTATTTTTGTTGTTTGCTTGTTGAAATCACATTCATGTTTAAAGAGAGCTCCTTTCTTTCTATAATTCAGGGATTTGGGAATGTAACATCTGGTCCTATATAGCATGTGACTATAGAACGGTCTCTGTTCCCAAGGAGTTCATTGGCCAGTTATTGTAAAATGTTAGCATACACTAGGGAAATGTAAGAGGCTAAACCTCACTGTACTCTGTACAAGAAGGAGTGATGAAGTTGAATGATTATTTGTTCAACGCTTTCATCCATCCTGCAGACATTTAATCTGGTGTCCCTTGATTGTAGGTCCCACTGGGGCATGAACCAAGTCCGTCCCTTTCATCGATGTATCGCCAGCATGTAGCACCATGAAGGGATCTTTTCTTTTTTTTTTGAACTAGTATTTTTATTCATTTCAAAAGTTCTTCCCTTTTTTCCTTTCTTTAACGTTTCCCATCCCCCACCTGCCATTTCAACCATGTAGAGCTATTTGGGAAGATTGGTCTCAGCAGAACATCAGAGAACACAAGCATCAAATATCGCCTTTGGACTATGTAATTTCAAAAAAAATCTTGTTTTATCAATAACTCAAATATTATTTTAAGCATTTAGTCCATGTAATAGTAACAAAATAAATGCTCACTTCAGTGTTTTCAAAATCACTCCAGACCTCACCCTCGGCTCTTCTTCTCCTTGGGGTGAATAAACTTGGGGGTCTGTATTTGGTGACCCACTGACATCTGCAGAGGTCTGACATGTTCTAAAACTGCATGATTCCTGGCTTTTTCCTCCTCTTCTCTGCCGTCTTCCACGAAGGATAAAGCCCACCTCATCTCTGCTGGCACAGGACAAATCGGTTATTGCTTCTGTGGCCTGTGATCACTCATGAAGGGATCTTAATAAGCCCTCCCAATACATATTTGTAAAACCACTGAATAATACCATGTGACAGACACCACCCCCATCATGTCAGGAGCATGAGATCATCAGCAAGATGGTGGCATATAGCACTGCCCCTGCAGTTGGTCAGGACTGAGTTTAAGATCTAGTTCATACGTTTATTGCAGAAATTACTCAACCTTCCAGGTCTCAGTTACCCCATGTGTACAACGGAGATAATAAAAATATCCAACTAATTGTCTATTGGCAAGATTTGATGATACAGTGCAGGGAAAGTGCTTACCCTGGTACATGGTCAGCCCTCAATCAATACTGCCCCATATGAAAGTCTCCAGACCAGAATTGTTTGTTGGTCATATTTTTCCTTGAATTTCCAGATACACTGGTACCTTGATTAACATGCAATTGGTAGATTTCACTTTGAAGGAAATAGAAAGTTGGGTCCATATCTTCACTCTAGTTTGATGGGAAAGATGTGCCTGAAAGCTAACTCACTTTGGGACTCTGATAAAACAAACAAGCAAGAAGCAAACAGCAGATGACTTTTCTGAGTTGTGCTTAGGGCCAGCAAAGAGGCGGCCCAAACCTCTTCACTCTCCCCATCAATAGCCTGGACAGTGAAGGTCCATATGCCCAGAGCTATGACTCCTACAATCCATCAGAGAAAGATTCTGTTTCACTCCATTAACTCTCCTTACTGAGTCAGAAATGTGGGTTTAAACATTTTCTAAGTATTTTCTAAAGTCAAGAAGTGTGCGTTGTTCTCGACTGAGCCAAACTGTAACCTGAAAATTCAGTTAAGCACACAAACCCTCTGGCCTGAGCCACCTGTGGATAGGTGGTTACAATGCAAGGACCCGCTTTATGGTTCCTCATAGGTCAATGTTTGCAAAGACAGTTGTGAAAATCTCCCGAAGGGTCACCTGATGATTCAGAGATGGGTGATTCCTGCCTCCAGAACTGGGAAAAGACCGCTCTGTTATGTAGTTCCTGATGGGCTTTGCAAGTGGAAATTGCCTGCATGTTGGCATTTAGCTCCTATTGGCCCCGTGTCTAGTTTTTCCTCTAGGTGTCTTGAGAGTTTAAATCCTCAGCTGCTAAAGGTTCCTGACCGCATGCCCTTCAGATGCTTTAGTGCAACTTATGCTGCCCAGCTAGAGAGAGAGACAGGAAGTAACAGCATTATTGATAAAAGGCTGTGCCTTTTTTTTTTTAATTCAAGAATTTAATAAGAAAATATTTTCTCTGTTGCTATTTGACACTCTATGGACTATTTTCCCAGTACCATGTTACATTTTCCAGTAGCACTTTTTACAACCACAGCAACAATGCACTTAGCTGTGGCAGGAATTCTTTTTTGCTCTTTCTGTAGGAATCATGTGTGAAAACCCTACGTGATGCCTAAGCCCCTCAAATGTGAATTAACCTCTGCTAGTTTTTCTTTTGTCATTGTTATGGAGGAAAGTGAGCTAGTATCATTGACCCAAACAGCACACCTCTGAAGGAGGTATCAGTCCCAAGGTCAAAAGATGGGGAAACTGAGGCTTGGTATAGTTAAGTAATTTTCCCAAAGTCACACCCAAAGAGCCAAGACCCATATTTGGGATAGCCTGATTCAGGTCATCTTCTTCCCACGAAACGATGCTGTCTCTCACAGAGCAATTTCTGGCACCAGAGGTTATAACCAGGCCAAAAAAAAAAAAAAAAAAGATTGAAAAGGCCCATTTTCCTCTTTGTGGGGGAGGACTTACTAAGCTATGAATCGTTTTCTTTGTTTGAAGGTAAAAGTTTTCTCATGATGCTGAGTACAATTGAGGTTATAACATGTTTAAGGTGCGTTACAGTTGAGGTATAATTTCTTATGAATAGTATACTACTCAGATTGTAATTTCACAATAGTGTGACTACTGAAAATATACATACACTAGGGTCATCAGCATCCCAGTAAGGATAAGAAATATTTTCCTCTCCCAGAAAGTTCCCTCATGGCCGCTTCCTCTCAATGCCGTAGGCCCATCCTCTTTACATGAGCATTTAATTTTTCACCCCAAAAATATTTATCTAATGTCCATTAGTGTCACCAAGCCCATAATGGGGCCTTGCTATATATTTGGTAGCTTGTGTGCCATCTTATTAAGTGCCCTTATTAGCTTTGGATTTACAAAACAAAACTTGTTACTGTCTTGCCCCGTCTTAGATAGTGGGGACAGAGGTGACCACAGCTTGTTTCCTGCCTTCAAGGCAGTCGTGGATTTGATTTGGGAGCAAACGGCTTCCTTGGGCTTAGTGACTCAGTGACTCGGTCAGGCACGTGTCCACCCCGCATAGGAAGATCTGGGGCCGCATCACTATTTCCAGATGTCAATGATCCTGGCTCAGAGGGAGAAGAAACATGAAGGCGTCCCAGGCGGGTCCCACTTAATTTTAAGTTCGTCACTCTTCACCTGTTATTCCAATTTCCCCTCTGTTGCTAGTGATGAGGGTGTAGAGCTCATATCCGCAGGGGGGACGTGGCAATTTGAGCATCCTTTGGCACGCCTGGGAGGCCAACCAGAAATGTTTAAATGGGGCCGGATCTGTGCTCTGTAATCATTCAGATCACAGACTGTTCCCTCCATCTCTTCCCAGCTGGCAGCCTGATAAATCTCTGGAAATTGTGCAGAAACGTTGAGGACTTGGTTTTTCCAGGTAGATTCCTAAGAAAGGAAACTGGAGCTAGTAGCGCACGCTGATTGGTCAGGCCGCCAGCCAGTGGGCAGAGGCTGCTGCTCAGGCACGTGCGCAGGTTTGCCTCGGTTTGAGTAAAACCCGATCTTACAGAGAGGGTCTATCGAGGAGCGGGGTAGGCTGTAGCCATAGTCATTCTCACCATCCTTTACAAAAGGGTCACTATGAGGTTCTCCTAATAATAAGAGATTCCCCCAGGGCCCATCCAGTACCTCTAAAATGGAATTCAATTTAGAGAAACTGATTTATAATCAAAGTCCCAGGCATTATGGGATTCTCAGATAACAAGTTTGATTCCTTTAGCATTGAGGGGAATTTCCTTACTTCAGGAAGAGTGACCCCGTGGAGAACCTTGAATTCATTCATTCATTCAACAGTATTTTTCAAACACAGACTGTGTGCTAGGCACTGTGAATGTGGGGTCTCCACTCCACCCAGCCTGCCACCTAGCATTTAAAGTTGCAGTCAGCAGAGCCTGCCCCGACCTTGAATTTGGAGCTAATGATGCTCCCCCCACCTTTTTAGCAGGGGGATTGCAATAAAAGAGGATCAAAATTTATCTCTTGTCAACAGAGCGTTATTAGCCAAAGTGACCCCATGTAACTAAAACTTTGCTTTCTTTCTTAGAGGGTTGAAATTTAGAGCCACCTAGGAATTCTCTCTCTCCCTGAAAACATCTAGGCTTTCTTCAGGGGAACCTCTCTTGATCCTGTGTTGGGTATTATCTTAATCGTGCTTCAGGGCCTTGCAGAGAGAAGTGTTCACATAATCGTAATTGCGCATTTGGTCCCTCGCCCTGTTTCCCGGTCCCCTGAGACCTGCGCCCCTTGGAGGCTGCAGCTGGGGTGCCTGCAGAGCATCTGGGCGTTGAGGGCACAGCACACATGGGAAGCCCGTGAACAGATAGATCAGCATCTCTCCATTGTTGTTTTTTTAGGAAGTTCTGAGGGTGACTGGACAGTGGCGACACTTAAGTCACCGAAAGGTACCGTATGGCTTTTTCTAGCTCTTTTGTCCAGGTGTTGTTGGATTTGGCATTAATCCATGAAGGCACAGAGAATCCTGGTGTCTGTGTGCACACATGTGTCCGCGTTGGGTGGACCTGCGGGTCCGTCTGAGTTCCAGTGTGTAGGTGTTGTGTGTGTGTGTGTCTGCGCGCCTGGGGTGGCATGTCTGTGCTCCGGGCTGTTGTTGAAAAGTGTGCCACTCCTCACTTCCCAATGTTCATTACCTGAAGGAAAATGTCACTATCAGAAACCATCCCAGGTAAGACATCCAGGAGACGTTTTTTTCCTCAGAAAACTGTGCAGGCAAATGGCAAAATGTAAGGTAAATTAATGCAGGGGGAAAAACACAAATTGTGAGGGAGAGATAAACAGAGTCAGGTTGTTGGCCCGGGGTCTTGGGAATGATTAGCCTTTTGGGGAACAGATGCTATTTTCAACTTTCCTGGCTACCATGGTGAGCATCAAAAGTTGGTCCCCTTGAGTCTGTGCGTTAACTAGCTGGGTGACTGGGCTAGGTGGTGGCTATAATTTATTAACCCCCTACTATGTGCCAGACAGAGGGCTGGGCCCTTTATGTCATTTTGTCCTTGAACTCTCCGGTGACCCAGCCATGTATGTGTTGTCCTTCCCCTTCAGAGTCGAGGACATGGGCCTCTGAGCGAGGCTAGCTCTTGCTTGTCTAAAGTCATATAGCTGCTAAGTGATGAAGCTGAATGTGAACCCATGTCTGCCTGACTCTAATGCTTAGGTTATTTCCCACTGGGGTATGATGGGAATGGCTATTTTCCAGAACAGACTGGAAACTCAGTTCTCTTCTTTCTTCACTCCTTATGCTTTGTCGGATGTGGTAGTTGGGAGGATGTAGCTGACCCAAGCAGGTGAAGGTCAAACCCTTTAGTGACCTTGAACTGGGAGAAGTTAGAAGATATTGCAGGGCTGTAGGTAAGATACTGGTAGGGCCATTTTGCCTTCTCAAAAGACAGTTCTGGTTTCTAAGTGGAGACTGGATTGGGGGAGGGTGGGCTGGAGTTGAAGTCACCTTCTGGAAGACTCTTGCAGTCATCCAGGTGGGCAGTGCCCTGAACTGGGGTGGGTAGAGGATGAAGAGAAGAAAATAGAGCAGAGGGGTAATGAAGAGACTGCAGAAGGTAGTGAGTGCGTGGGAGTGCAGAGGACGGAGCCGTGGGCCACCCTGTGGTTCTCAAGTTTGAGCCACTTCAGTGCATATCAGCATCTCCTGGGGGAGTGTTAAAACCTAATTCCTGGGCCCCACCCCAGAGCTTCTGATTCACTAGGTGTGGCCAGAGGAGCTGAACTGCTAACAGGTTCCAAGGTGATGCTGATGCTGCTGGTCTGGGGACCATACTTTAAAAACCACTGCAGTAGAGAAATCTTGCTGGGAAACTAAGACTGTTTGATTGGGTCTCCAAGCATCTTTCTGTGGGTTGAGGGTTCTGAAGAGGGAAGTTTGACCAGAGTCCCAGAGGCTCCGAAGCAACTTGAGCTCTGGGGCGGGGTGGAGGGGAATGAGGAGTGTCACCCCATATTCCAGAATTGGGAGTGAGAGCTTTAGACCCTCGTGTCTAATGAGAACCCCTTGTTACCCAGTTGTTGCCTTGAGAGAGGCAGATTTTTTGGGTCTGCATTAGATAATAAGTATTCACATGTCAACATCCATTTTTAGAAATGTAAACAGTTTGGAACATGACAGACCTACTAATTTGAGGCATAAACTTTTTTTTCCTTCCCTTGTGAAAAACAAAGCCATTACGATTCCCATGACAACATTTAGAGGCAGTCAGCATCCCTGTCTTTATATCAGCCTGTTGTTGTCTGATGCATTTAGAAAATATTTCAGGACAGGTCAAAAGCAAGGGCTTAGAGGCTATTTTTCTCCTCAAACCAGGCTAATTTCCCCTCTCCTCCTAAATGCATCTGTATTTATCCTGCTTTGTCTGGGGAAGAGAAAAGGGGTCCCAGAGAGGGGAGGCCCAAGTTCCTCTGGGGTCACTGATTTTCCCTATTGTTTTCTACTCGACCTCCAGACCCTGAATCTACATGAGGCATGATAACAAGGTCAGGGGGGTTGTACACCCTGCCACCTTCTTGAAAGAGAGGTATCAGCAGAGTGTGATGGACTTAGCCTCAGACACACCTGAGTTCTGATCGTGGTCCCGTCACTGGTACTCTTCTTACTTTCTCCAAGTCATTCAACCTCTCTGAGCCCCTCTTTTTGATCAACAAGATGGAGACAACACTATCACCTCCCTCCTAAGGTTGTTGTGAGGACGATGTGAGGTAACATGTACAACACATGTCACAGTGCCTGGCATGTCAAAAGTGATAAACACATGAGGTTGTAACTGGTATAATTATTACTATTATTATCAGGTGAGCAAATTAAAGCTCTGAAAAATCTCATGGTTAAAAAAACTGTCAAACTCTGTATAGCCCATCATTTCCCAAATACTTTTGACGTCTGATCTCTTTTCTCTATGGAAAACCAGTTCACAGCTTGAGATCCAGTTACTGGAATGTTGCTAGGAACCCACTTTGGGAACACAGGGCATGGACAGAGGGATGGGTGTCCCTTGGGGAGGTTGGATAAAGAAGCAGTAGCTTCAAAGGAGAAAGGGCTAGGTCCCTGAAGATACAAGTTCCCTGCTTCCACCTGCATTGGCTATAACTCTCTTGGGAGGGGAATCCTATCTGCCACGAAATGGCAAACAAATCTTAGCGGTTTGCACTATCCATTTTTCACTACCTGAGGTTTTCCAGGAAAGTCTCCCCCTAGTGGTCACTGCTGTAGGTCCACGTGCCCAGCCCTGTGGACTCCTGGAATAATTGTTTAATACCCAGGATGGAAGAAGACACCACCACCTCAATCCCAGTGGACTCCCCTAACCAGTATGAACACGTATCATGGAAATACATTTATTTTGCAAAACGAATCTTTGAACCTGATCTGTCCTTAGTGTAGCACGCCATTGGAGCCTGGAACTTGGGGGAAACTTCTAGCATAGTGCTGTGATTTCATCACTCTAGCTCTGACTAGAATCAGGTTGTGTGGTCTTGCCCAAGCCAGTCACATGCTCTGGACTTTCATTTCTACCATTTCCAAAATGGAGGAGATGATAGTATTCACATTCTATCAGGTTTGGGTGAGTAATTTTATGAGACAATGCAAATAATACCCTTCCATGAAGCAATGAAGGAAATACACTTTTTCACCCTTTATGCTTCTACAGATGAGGGAACTGAGTTCTCTTGAGATAAATGAGATTGCCAACACTCACACAGGGCATCACACCCAGGACCAGGACCCAGAACTCAAAGAATGGCTTAAGACCCCAATGTTCATAGCAACACTATTTACAATAGCCAAAACATAGAAACAACCTAAATGTCCATCGACTGATGAATGGATAAAGAAGATGTGGCACACACACACACACACACACACACACACACACACACACACACAATGACATACTACTCAGCCATTAAAAAGAATGAAATAATGCCATTTGCAGCAACATGGATGGATCTAGAGATTGTCATACTAAGTGAAGTGAGTCAGACAGAGAAAGACAAATACCATATGATATCACTTATATGTGGAACATAAAAAAAATGATACAAATGAACTTATTTACAAGACAGAAATAGACTCACAGACATAGAAAACAAACTTATGGTTACCAAAAGGGAAAGGCGAGGGGACAGATATATTAGGAATTTGGAATTAACAGATACACACTACTATACATAAAATAGATAAACAACAGGACCTATTGTATAGCACAGGGAACTATATTCAATACCTTGTAATAATGTATAACATATTTCTTTTATACATAATTCTTAGTATATATTAAGACATATTCTTAATAACATAATTCTTTTATACATTATTAATAATGTATAAAAGAATCTGAAGAATATCTCTCTGTCTATCTGAATCACTTTGCTGTTCTCCTGATCATTGTAAATCAGCTATACTTCAATTAAAAAAAAAATCAGTCTTTAAAAAAAAAGAATGGCTTAAGGACTTGACCCAGAATCATGGGAGATGCTTTTTACCAATGTCCATCCCGGGCCTACCTACTCCTATGGGCCTGGAACCTCTGGATTTTTCACTTTCCATTTTTCATTTTTTCACTTTAAAAATGCACCTCCTGGGTCATTTTATGTGCATTCAACTCTGGACCTACATTTTCCTAAGACCCAATCCTAGATACAAACACAGCTTACCCCAGAGCACCAGTTTTCGCATGCCAGCATTCCTCATGTATTCCAAAAATACATGAGTATTTTTGCTGTTTTCTTAGTTGGGGTTTGATCTGGGGGCTATAGCTGGAAGGTAAGAGCATTGGAGGTGGACGGTCTTGGATTTGGTATCCTGCTCTGCCACTTATCAGCTGTGGCAGAGTCAGTTGGCAGCCAAATTACTCAGTGTCTCTGGGCCTTAGTTCTCATCTGTCACATGGAAAAAAAGGATATTGCCTCATCACCTCCCTTTACGAGGGTTTAAATTAGATCATGTAGGTGAAACGGCTAAAAACGGTGTCTAGTACATGGTAAGCACTCAAGAAATCCTAGTTCTTTCTTTCTTTTGAGAAAATTGATGTAGCTCGGTGATAAATATTCATCCAAGAGATGCTACAGAAGCACAGGAAGTGTGTGATTGGGTTACAGTTCTGTCGGAGGGTACACAGCCTGGGGAAGGACTCACTTAAAAGTAGCCTTAAAACATTACTTCATAAAAGTCAGGCTTTTGCAACTTTCTGACTTGGGTTATTGGTTTGTGGGTGAGCAGCAGGGTACAGAGCAGGTGGAGGATAAGGAAGTGATTTTTTTTTTTTTTTTTAATAAAAATCAAATCCTACCAGCTTCTGAGTTCAGCCTCTTTGGAAAAGCATACAGCAAGCACTGGCATTCTGATGAGCTTCCTTGGGAACCCATAGGGCATGAAGTG